CCCTGGGCCAGCGCCATGGACTTTACAATGCACTCACAGCTCTATTGGGCCAGATTAGAATTCAGACTCCATTTTACAGAGGAAGAGAATCCACTACCATCCTAAGCATGTGTTTGGAGGAAAGTGCCTAGATTCCCTCTAAAGCAGCATTGCTGGTAGGACTGGACTTGTTTCTGTCTGGATTTACAAGCTGTCACTGTATTTACCTGTTTTACATATTAATTGTACGTTTCACGTTCTTTCTAACCAGTTTCACCACCTTGTTTTGTTAATAAAGCCTCAAGATTTTACTCAGTCTGGCTTATTGCAGAATACGAGGGTTTTGCTGCAAATACATAGGCCACAGGGTACGTACTGTATAGCGGGCACAGAACAACCTGCATGTAGTAGTATGTAGTGGTGGAAGAAGGAGGTGTGGTATACCTGGTTCAGGTAAAAGAATGGGTTATGTGTTTGATAAGAGAAAGCAGCTCTGAAAATCCAAAGGTGTGGTGGGAACTTGCAGACCAACCCTCAGAAAGGACAGATTATAATCATATTGCAACTGACAGATGGTGGGTTTACATTAAAGGACATAGGAAAATGCCTGCCAAGAAAGGAGTTTAAAATTAAAGGTGGGCATATTTCACACAGGGACTCTCTGAATATTACTTTCAGCTACATCTGAGAAACAGATCAAGGAAGGTGTAAACATAGTCAGAAATCATCAGAACTGTGGTGAAAATCATAAAACCTGGGACATTTAATGCTATTTAATTAGGAGACTATTGGACCCAAATATGCTACGTCAAGTGTTGCACAGAAAATAAGAGACCGTAGATTATGGCAACAGTACTCATGCTTCACTGCAGGCTGCTGCTCTAGCAAACATAAAAGAGAACATATGTTCAGTAAGAAAGCATGAAGATGGTCCAGCAAGGTTTTTAGATAATAGTGTGTAAAGCAGGAACTTGCAGAGATGTAAACAATGTATGAAAGAAGAAAAGAAAAGATGTAGGCACTGCTTTAACCTTGGACAGGATGGTCCTATGGTGCAACGGTGCATAAAAAATGAGAAGCTACCAGGAAATTAGAAGTGGTCACAGGTGCAGGACAAGCAGTAACCAGCTATGATGCAGTGCCTCAAGTCGCTACAGAAAATAAAGAAACCTTTGATCAAAAAAAAGTCAGACTGATGGGGAACATGCTTACTCGTAGTTTAGAAGGGGTACAAAGTACTCTATTGCACAGATTCCCAAATAAGCATTGTAGCTGTGACACAACATAGATACGAACTGCGATTTAGCCAATTGACAGTCTGTTCGGAAAAGATAGCAAGCTAACAATCACAGCTGTAAATGGTTTTGGTGTTCCTATTTACCTAATTTTAAGACCTGCTAAGGAACAGATGACTTTTATTATGTCCTGATACTTAAAACCATAACATTCAAAGAGGGTGTACTTTCTTTTTAACACGACTGTACATAATGACATGGGCCAGACAAAGTAATTCAGCTTGCAGGAGATTTTACTGACAATGCAAAAACAGATAACTAATTATGTCTCCAAAAGATGTAAATGCCTGAAACAGAAGAATCTAACAGTGCCAGAGGGGCTTCTTTGGGGTAGTCTAGTGCGCCTTTTGTAGCAGCGGATTTTCTTCATCTAGAGAAGATTAGAGGTGGTTATGAATACATGATGGTTATTATTGATCACCTTTTATTACACATCAATTTAGTATTTAAAGTGCAACTACAACCTACAGCCAAGGAAGGTGCCCTCTTAGCCTCTGTTTGGATTGCAGGTGCCATGGTGCTGCACATGTCACCCTACCTTGATCTTGGTTTTAACCACATGACCATGACCTTTATATACGTATTTCAGATGGTTAAAGAGGGGATGTATGTAGCTGGTAAATGAATAGACCGCCAAGCAATGTTATTATTAGGCTGCAGCTAGGGGAACCTTTAATGATTTAGAGTGTGACTGCAGGAGAGCAATACCATCAGACACATTAAAGTTGGACTTGAGCAACACATGTTATATGTTCCTATTTGCCTAATACAGGTACTGGAGGTTACATCTTTATACTTTACACCCAGACCAACAATCCTGTAATATAAACCATACACTAAGACAGGGCTAGGCAAAGCCCAGTTTCCATGGCAACTGAAAAAGTCCACAAGCATCGAGGGTTCCATGTTGTTTTTAGATACACTGCCTGTCAAACAACTGAACTTTCACATGTAGGTTCAGATATGTGTACTGTATAGAGTTGTGCTCCTATAGACAGGGTATCCATCTACATACAGGTGCAGGTATATTTGTGCATTCACACTGCAAGGTCATAAAATGCTGCACTTTAGCTTGTCTTTTACAGATGTTTTGTCATGCTTTACTGCCTTTTAGTGAGCATTTTGCTGCATTTTTGTTTTTCTTTATCAAACCAAATTGCATGGTAAAACATATGAAAAGATGCATTAAGAAAAAAAAATAATAAAAAGGAGGGAAAATAACAGGTCAGGAGGTAGGAGAGTTGGTGCCCAACCTGGTCAGCAGACTATAGCATTTAAGTTAACTGTGGTTTTGCAGTTTAAACCAATAGAACCATGTTTTTTTAAAAATGATTCCTTTTACAGTTTTATGGCAGATGTAAGTTCTTCCAAAAAAAAAAAAAGGAACGGGCTCTTGCTGCAGTTATCAGGTCAATAAAGAGTATAACACAGATAGGTGGTGTGTTGAGTCATTTTCTAAACGCAGTACTCCAGAGGGAGATAATGAGTGAGAGGAGTGCTCCTTAAAGTGTAGTGTGAGAGGCATATTTGCATCACCCCCAAGAGTGGTAGTGGGGGAGTTATCATTCTTTGTATGCCTTGGGCGGTATTGCAACCATTCAGTGATATTCTACTTTCTGTTCTACTTAGTGTACTAGTGTAGTGTAGTGAACAATGTACTATTCACACTGAGCGACATGAAAATTGAGCGACGTGTCGCGCGACTTTTTCCCTATTGGGCTGTATGCAATCAGGAGCAATATCGCTCAAAATCGCTCGAAAAAAGGGTCATGTAGGAGCGACAAGCTACCAGCGATATTGAGCGACTTGTCGCGCAACTTTTTCCTATTGGGCTGTATGCAATCAGGAGCAATATCGCTCGAAATCGCTAGAAAAAAGGGTCATGTAGGAGCGACAAGCTACCAGCGACGAGCTACAAGCGATATTGAGCGATATTGAGCGACGAGATGTGAACAGCTCCATTGAAATGGATTGGAGAAGCTACATAGAGCGATATTGCGTGGAAATATGAGCGATATCGCTGCAAAAATCGCTCCATAAATCGCTCAGTGTGAATGGGGCCTTAGTGATGACTACAGAGGAACAGCCAAAACTAACCTTACTAAACAGTATGTACACATGCATTTTCAACTGCATTATTATCCAGACAAATATTTTAAAATCCACAAGATATTTATAGATCTCATTACAGTAATTACTCAGCCACACATCACACAGCACTGGTTTCAAAAATAGATACCTATTTGTCCATCTGATGTGTTAAAGTTGACATTTAATTTAATTTATTTAGCCTATTTCAAGCTCACGATCCCTTGTGCTTGCATGCAATTGTTTGGATTGTTTTTATAACTACGTTACCATACGCCAGAACACAAGTTAAGACGTATATTAGACAAATTTGGATATGATGGACATCTACCAGCCTTTTCTCAGTAGCAGCAAGTAATGTTAGGTTCATAAAGATTGAGAGCAACAGTACACAACCATATGTATACCCAAATGCACAGTCATGTGACAGGAAAGTTGACCTTTTGTCTCACCAGTCATTGATGCTGCTTTCCCTGAGGCAGGCAGCTCATGGAGCACACTGTCTATAGAAGTAACCTCGGCAAACTTTTTTCCATAAGAGCAGCTCCCAGGTCAAGATCCTTGGGTTTTCCCTATCAGCATTGAGTAGGGCATTCAAGGAGAGTTGAACAGTAGGCAGAGTCTGAGGCTGGTGGCTGTCATAAATGTTTAAGGCTGGATTCACAAAATGTACTCAAAACTTCAATTCCTTCAGATGGGGAACAATTTACCAAATAGGCATCCGCAGGCTGAATTCTGCAAATAGTAATTCGGTTTCTACACTGTACCACCCCCAACCACTTATATGTTCACTAAGCAATTTAGCCCAGTGCAATGAATTGACCATTTTTATTCAGGAGGTGCTTGGCAGGAGTAAGAACCGCATTCCAAGCACTTTCTTTTTCAGCCTATGTAAGTCTAGACTTGTCTAGCCTAAGGAGCAAAGGTTAGGACAGGCTGGCATAACCAGCAGGACAGCCAGGTCAAAATCAAATCGACATACGAGGCACTTAACATATACTGTAAGCAACTTATTCATTTAAGTGGGTGTCAACTTCAATCAAGTGTTTGGGCACTCATCTTTCTGTAAACCTTATGAGGGTGTATGCTTTATATTTTCCACCGCTTTTGAGATGTAATTCATTTCCAGTTTTTCCGTTAATAAGAACTGAATGCCAGCTCTCATTCTTGTAGCGGAGGGCTCCCTGCCTTGGTAAAAAAAACAAACAAAAAAAAAACCTTGGCTTTGGTATTCCTGGGATTTGGAATAGCAATCTAAGCTCTAGGTTGTAGATCATTGTACAGGACGGCTACACTGTGTCAGAGCAAGAAACTGGATTGCTATATCCAATGGCAGCATTACAGATTGTGTAACCTCACTTGGACTATTCATGTTCAAGCTTGACTCCACTAAAGCCCACAACAGTGTTCAGAAGCCTCCATCTCTGTTAGCTGAAGACTTCTACCTCTTGTGCACAGCAACTCTGTACAGGGATTTGTAGAATGCATACACAGTTAAAAATAATTGTCATATTAGCAACAAGGTCCATGAAGGGTAAATGATAAAAATGGCAAAGACGCTGATTATTATATGAGTGGTCTGAACAATCAGAGACACCAAATAAGCCAAGCCAAAACAAGACACAGTAAAGGAAACGTTCCAAAAAGAAAGCATTTTTAGATTTAATAATTATTCTGAATATTACTTTTAAATAACAGATTTAATGATGTTGTTATAAAGAATTACCGCCTGATTCTTATAGTTAAAATTCAAGTTTTTTGCTTTGCTTGTATTGTATTTCATTCAGTATGTCCGTTTCCCACAGCATTACAGTACAGCATACAATTAGTACCCAAGGTTTGTGTAAACAGTTGGCAGGAAGAAGTATTGGGGTCTTTATATCTTTGGATGGATATGTGTCCATTCTACTAATCCACGAAGAATTTTCTTTGTGCTTTTCTAGCTTTTTCAATCGACTCAAAAGATGGCAATCCTTGTGGCAACTCAAGTAAATGATTCTCATTTTCAATGATATCCTCTGCACTCCCTAGAATGAAAAAGAAATGTATATTCATTCATTAATGTACACAGTAACAGAGATAATATAAACCTACACTACTCTTTGACAGTTTTGCCATTATATCCATAAGGTGTGGCATTACAAAATGAAGGTTTAAACTGAAACTCCATTCTTGTTGTGACAAACAAACACTAAGGAATCCTCTCCAGGTCAACTATATAGATCATACATACAAGGATCTTACTAAACTTTATTACAGATCTGTATCGGTTTCTGTTCTGTAGGTATTGATGTGGGTCTCTCCATGCCTTTCTGAATGTGACTATTAAGTGGGAGAGTCTTTTATCATTATAATGACAGGATCGGTCTTGGGGAGTGCATAAGGGCCCACTGTGATACCTAGACGAGGATTAGGCTGTTTAAGGAAAGCTCTTGTTGGCCCAGTCATTGTCTGAGCATCACAGTGAGATACTTATGCACACCTTAACATTCCGGAAGGTGTTAACCACAAGTACTCTTCTTCTGTCCATTGGACAATTTGTACAAGAAGCAGCAGCATGTCCTGGTACAACAAAAGGATGCTTCCCTACCCATGATTCTCATGGATACATCTTTCTATGACAGCTAGGGATGCACCGATACCGGTATTTTGGTACCGAATACTAGTAGCGATAATGTTTTTGGGTACTCGCCGATACCAATTACCGAGTAACGGAAGTCCCATTCAGGAAGCCAGGTGGCGTGTAATGACTCGCCACCTGGCTTCCTGGTTAGCCGGGAAGCGTGTAAAGACTCGCCACCCGGCTTCCCGATTAACAAGAAAGTCTGCCCCCTCGTTCCTTGGTAAGTTCCAACCTGTCACCCCTAAGCCTCTCCAGCCAGAACGCGGCCTTCCTCCGGTACCCAGCCGGAGGCGTCTAATCAGGAAGGCGGGCGCCTTGTAATGACGCGACCCCCTGCTTTCTGATTGGCCGGGAGGCCGGCTCCATGCTCCCTCGTCATGAGATGGCGAGGGAGCATGAAGCCAGCTTCCTGGCCAATCAGAATACCAAGCGCTGCGTCATTACACAGCGCCCGGCTTCCAGATTGGCCGGCGCTAATGAAGGGAAGGGGGAGGAGTCCGGTGATGTTGATGTCCATGACATCACCGGACTCCTCCCCCCTTTGTTAGCCGACGGAACCACATTATGTATATATATATATATATAAAAATATATATATATACAGTATGTCTATATATATCTATATACACACACAGTATAATAATGGACCCTTGAAGTGAATGCTTTTACTAAGATTAGTTATGTCAACAGCAGCTGTTCTGTACAGTGTTTCCAGTAATAAAGTATGCTTTTTATACAATAGTGCCAAATGATCCCCGTTTTAAGCTTTAGTATGCATAATGTAACATGCATATGTTTTTTTGTAAACAGTAAGTAACATCACAATTTCCATTGCATCAATTTTAATTTCAGTGATGCAGACAATTGTTATGCAAACAACCCCTTTTATGTACTACTGATTATTGCTGGTTCTAAAGGAAACGGGAACTTGTTGCCAGGCTATACTTAAAGTGACACTAAACTCAGGAGTTAAATCTTAAAAATGCATTCAAGTACCTTTAAAGGAGAATTATGGGCTGAGTGAAAAACACTCATGATTCAAGCTGATGTGTGACAATGAAGCTGTCACAGGTCGGCTCTACTGATCGGGAAGACAACGAACACATACTGTCGATCACTGAGTTCCCGATCCTCTGACTGCCAGTCACTGCTCTCTGCAGGGATTCCCCCCTCCCCTCTCTGTTTCTCTAGTGCTGACTGGAGGAAGGGATGGGGGAGGGGCGGGCACAGCTGGCTCTGCTTCTAGAGAGGCAGAGCCCGCTGTCAATCAGCCAGCTGGGTGGATCTCTACAGTATTGTCAGGATCCGTCCCAGCTGTGGTGCGGCTCTGCACTCTCAGCATATAGCGTATACAGTATATGGCAATAGGGTTTTAGAGCACAGCATGCCCTTATTTTAGTGCTGCATGTGCTCAGCATGGGTCTGGCAGAGATTTCAATGGGCTCAGTAGTTTCCTGGCAGTGTGATCCACACTCAGCATGTCCCTAGCATAGAATTCACTGTTGTCAGCATTTCTCTGGGAGTGTAGTATATGTTCAGTGTGGTCAGTATGTCCCTTGTATGCAAAGTTCACAGCATGTTAATAGCATAATGTCCCCAGTGCTTATCATGCTCTTAGCAAAGTTCCACACGATGCTCTACACATCCCTGGAACAAAAAGATGCTTCTTGCAGAGTATCCCTTGCTGAGCATGTACCTGAGGGTATGACTCATGTGCCCATCATATCCCTGGCAGGGTGTTAATGTGTCCAGCATATCTTTGACAAAAAAGGAATTTTGATCAGTATGTCAGGAATACAATGGGGGGAATTTATCAGAACTAGAATCTGCAGAAGTTGCTTATGGCAACCAATCAGCTTCTAGCTTTCATTTTCAAAACTTAACTAATCAAACTCATATATACAATTATTAACAAATTGCTAGAAGGTAGAGGTTTTTTTTGGCACAAGAGCCATGCAGTCTCTGCCAAAGAATATCTGCAGTGCAGTGTACACCAACACCTAATTCCTGGCATCTAATGGCTATCAAGTATTGAGCCAGGTTCCAGGACAATGTAACTTCAGCATACATGCACAGGAGTTACATCATCAGTGGCTGTCCAGTGGCTGACCCTGAAGATGTCAGGTATCATTACATGCTGCCCGGCTCCCGGCCAATCAGAAAGCAGGATGTCACGTCATTACACGGCGCCCGGCTCCCTGATTGGCCGGCCAGACGGCTCTGGCTGGGTACCGGAGGAAGGCCGCGTTCTGGCTGGAGAGGCCCCAGGGGGTGACAGGCTGGACATACAAAGGTAAGAGGGGACTTTCTGGTTAATCGGGAAGCCGGGTGGCGAGTCTTTACACGCTGCCCGACTAATCAGGAAGCCAGGTGGCGAGTCATTATACGCCACCTGGCTTCCTGAATGGGACTTCCGTTACTCGGTAATTGGTATCGGCGAGTACCGAAAGAAAATTAGCGGTACTCCTACTCGGTACCAAAATACCTGTATCGGTGCTTTTATACAATAGTGCCAAATGATCCCCGTTTTAAGCTTTAGTATGCATAATGTAACATGCATATGTTTTTTTGTAAACAGTAAGTAACATCACAATTTCCATTGCATCAATTTTAATTTCAGTGATGCAGACAATTGTTATGCAAACAACCCCTTTTATGTACTACTGATTATTGCTGGTTCTAAAGGAAACGGGAACTTGTTGCCAGGCTATACTTAAAGTGACACTAAACTCAGGAGTTAAATCTTAAAAATGCATTCAAGTACCTTTAAAGGAGAATTATGGGCTGAGTGAAAAACACTCATGATTCAAGCTGATGTGTGACAATGAAGCTGTCACAGGTCGGCTCTACTGATCGGGAAGACAACGAACACATACTGTCGATCACTGAGTTCCCGATCCTCTGACTGCCAGTCACTGCTCTCTGCAGGGATTCCCCCCTCCCCTCTCTGTTTCTCTAGTGCTGACTGGAGGAAGGGATGGGGGAGGGGCGGGCACAGCTGGCTCTGCTTCTAGAGAGGCAGAGCCCGCTGTCAATCAGCCAGCTGGGTGGATCTCTACAGTATTGTCAGGATCCGTCCCAGCTGTGGTGCGGCTCTGCACTCTCAGCATATAGCGTATACAGTATATGGCAATAGGGTTTTAGAGCACAGCATGCCCTTATTTTAGTGCTGCATGTGCTCAGCATGGGTCTGGCAGAGATTTCAATGGGCTCAGTAGTTTCCTGGCAGTGTGATCCACACTCAGCATGTCCCTAGCATAGAATTCACTGTTGTCAGCATTTCTCTGGGAGTGTAGTATATGTTCAGTGTGGTCAGTATGTCCCTTGTATGCAAAGTTCACAGCATGTTAATAGCATAATGTCCCCAGTGCTTATCATGCTCTTAGCAAAGTTCCACACGATGCTCTACACATCCCTGGAACAAAAAGATGCTTCTTGCAGAGTATCCCTTGCTGAGCATGTACCTGAGGGTATGACTCATGTGCCCATCATATCCCTGGCAGGGTGTTAATGTGTCCAGCATATCTTTGACAAAAAAGGAATTTTGATCAGTATGTCAGGAATACAATGGGGGGAATTTATCAGAACTAGAATCTGCAGAAGTTGCTTATGGCAACCAATCAGCTTCTAGCTTTCATTTTCAAAACTTAACTAATCAAACTCATATATACAATTATTAACAAATTGCTAGAAGGTAGAGGTTTTTTTTGGCACAAGAGCCATGCAGTCTCTGCCAAAGAATATCTGCAGTGCAGTGTACACCAACACCTAATTCCTGGCATCTAATGGCTATCAAGTATTGAGCCAGGTTCCAGGACAATGTAACTTCAGCATACATGCACAGGAGTTACATCATCAGTGGCTGTCCAGTGGCTGACCCTGAAGATGTCAGGTATCATTACATGCTGCCCGGCTCCCGGCCAATCAGAAAGCAGGATGTCACGTCATTACACGGCGCCCGGCTCCCTGATTGGCCGGCCAGACGGCTCTGGCTGGGTACCGGAGGAAGGCCGCGTTCTGGCTGGAGAGGCCCCAGGGGGTGACAGGCTGGACATACAAAGGTAAGAGGGGACTTTCTGGTTAATCGGGAAGCCGGGTGGCGAGTCTTTACACGCTGCCCGACTAATCAGGAAGCCAGGTGGCGAGTCATTATACGCCACCTGGCTTCCTGAATGGGACTTCCGTTACTCGGTAATTGGTATCGGCGAGTACCGAAAGAAAATTAGCGGTACTCCTACTCGGTACCAAAATACCGGTATCGGTGCAGCCCTAGTAACAAGGCAGGCCAGGGACACTTCATCATCCGGGGAGGGCTAACTATGCCACAATAAGCAAGTATGCTATGCATACTTGTACATTATGGCAAATGCCCACTCATCCCATAAATATTAAAGTACAAGCAAAACACGTGTAAGGTAAACTAAGTAAAATTAATTTATACCTTTCATCCTACGAATTAGGGTTCCATAGCCCATATCATACTGATATGCAAATACAAATCCTAGTGGTACAACAGGAATGAATAAGGCTGGTTTCTTTCCTCTGATGGCCCTGCACACAAACAAAAACAAAACACGAGTTATTCAAAATATTAGTTTTAATCTGTTTATCATAGGATTCATTTGTTAAACTATCTTACATTCTGCTGCCAATATTCTGCTTGTTTTGTTTGCAAATGTCCAATCGGCTACTGCAAATAAATTATTTCTTTAGAGTACTCTAAAGAGTGGTCCAAAGAGAAAGCCTTTGTTCCTGATGGCCAATTCCTACCTGTAAAATTGTTTCTTTTTGTAAGACAAATTGGTGGAAATTTTTAAAACTGGAGCAGTTGCCCATGGCAACCAACCAGCTTGTCTTTTTGGTTTGTTCAGTTAAGCTTTCAAAATGAAAGATAGATGCTGATTAGTTGTCATGGCAACTGCTCTGTCTGCTCCAGTTTTTATAAATTCCCCTGTTTTCTTTTTTCTAGGTCTCTCTCTGGTTTCATTTTCATAACACTGCCAGAGATGCAGATACTGTACCAGAAACTTTTGTTACCTTATCATGCATGCTTTATTTGTTGTGGAAAAGCCTTATTTATATATGTTATACTCAGTAGCTTACATTGGCAATGTTTTTACGGCTCTAAAGAGCAAATTCTTTCTGAATTTTAAGCCAAAAATTGTACTTTAAAATGTAGTGAAGTATTTAATTTTTGTAAGGAAAGTATGATTAGACACATTAATGTGACGCTAAAATAAGGAGTTAAATCATAAAAATACATTCAAGTACCTTAACTATAAACCGAAATTAATCTTATTTGTGTATCACTCGGCTGTAGATCCTCAAATAATCTCTGAATTGGTGCTGACACCGTCCTTCCTTCTGGAGGGGGGCTACTTTTGTTCCCCATGGTTCCTGTGTGGGTTATAAAGTAGTCACCGCTCCAAGCTCACTCCTGTGATGGACTGCAATCCCAATACAAATTAATAAACTAAACATGAGGTTGTAGTCCATCATAGGAGTGAGCTTGGAGTGGTGCCTACTTTACAACACACATAGGGACCATAATATCCACAAATTGTAAGTATCACCAGCACATCATATGGTCATTCAGATCCTTTTATTTGTCACACATAAGTGACATGTTAGTGTCATGACAATCCAACAGAACCCATCTCACCCAGTATTTACACCAGTTTGTTGTGATGAGCTATGGCTTAAATGCATTTTGTTTCCTGTATGTGTGCCATTCAGAATGCTCATACAATTATGTTTTGCTTTGCAAACGTTTACCACGGTTTGTTTATCTCATTCTTGTAATAAAGGCATGGAAACTGACCCAGTAGTATTTAACGTACTTTTACAATAAACACAAACATAACACAAAAATACACAAACTACTTAGTTACAGGTAAAACAATACATAAACATACAGACTGCTAATGCATACAATACTATACCCTTCTCTAGCACGTGATACACTAAAAAGTTACTTCGCTTCAGTTATTGTTGGTCTACAAATTACCTATTGAACAGGACCTTGTGGCGATTAAGCATTCTCAGAAAAATGGCTTCTTGTCATGGCTTAGCGTTGTTGTCTATTTCAGTGAGGTTCTCTGGATAAAATTCCTTAATTAAATTTTCCCTGATGGCCCCTACCTATTCATCTTTATCCTAGTTGCTCCCATTCACTTACATGAGGAATCCATGATTGGTCCAAAGAACACAATCATCCGTCTTTCTCACGACAGTAACTGGATGGCCACTGAAGTCTCTTTGAAGCTGAAAAACAGTGGCCATAATTTTATGTTCAGCTCCATTCTGACTCCGAGAACAGTCTTATTTAAATATTTTCCTCCCGAGTCAACACCGGCCCAAAACACCACATGATTGTACAGCCAGGTGGCCCTTTTGCACATCAAATCGACACAAGCTCAAGGAAACAATATAAATTATACCAATAACTGACCCCCGCCACACCTACTGAAGACAAAGGGGGGAGCTTAACCATAAGGCATGACAGTTGGCTTTAGTATACTAATGAAATCAGCAATGCAAAGTCTTTTACTTATACTGTTCCCAGAGAAGATACAGCCCTAATTTACAAATGTATTCATACATTGGTGGTATACACACATCCTATTAACCAGCTGTCTCTGCAATTTTCCTCTCTTAGAAAATGAGGAGTAAGTGAAGGACTTCAGAGCTCAGAGGCAGGGTGGGCTGACATTTCACCTCAGGGATGAGTCCTTAGCTGGTTGTGGGATGTGAATGTAAAGTTGGGTGCCAGTCTCTCTACAGGCACCTAGGACAGTACAGACTCTAGACTCACTGACAATTTCCCAGCATCACACTGCAGAGAGCCTTTAAACTGATTACAGTAAAACTGTGTATTGTGGAACTTTAGCTGGTTAGCAGGCATAGCACAGAATTCCCTAGACGAGACAACAGACTTCCTGCGAGGTCCAAGCCCACTTCTGGCTTCTCTGGCACCTCCAACAGACAAAGTTCCTCCCTAGTTTTCTATGCCAGGCACAGCTTTCTCCTTCACTGGCAGGACAGCTGCAGACCCCAACTGGGTCTTTATTCCTGACCACCTGCAGGTCTGATCAGACAGCACATCCCTTTACACACCCCCTCCAGGCAGGAGGCCCAGGGGAGTAGAGACACTCACAAGCCTCGAATATTGATGTCTTCCCCAGCATGCACCACTGGCCGTGAAGCTCCTAGGGATTAGCCAGGGAGACACACCTATTCATAACTCTGCATTATTGAATGTTCTGCTCTTTGGAAAGTTCACACCTAGCAGCAGGCAGATACAAACAATAACAGAGAGCTTAGGGAACACCAAATGAACATAGACTGGATACAGTCTGGAAAAAAAAAAATTAGCTTGACTGGATATAGTCCAGCAGAACTAAATTTAAGACGTCACCCCGCTTAGGGCAAGGTTCTATACAGTATATGTGAAATACAACCTAGCATGTGTTGCATTAATGTGATTAAAGAGCCTATCTTAACACACATTACCACAAGTGCAAACCAATCTAACACTACACACATAAAAAACATAAATTGGGCTCTGTTCCTGCCTAACATTGGAGGTTCCTGTTAACCATGGGATGTTCCTGTTGCACTGTCTGTATTGTAAAGCTCAAGCTTAAATATTGGTTTTGGATGGACTAAGGGATATCAAAGCATGGTTAATAATTATTTTGTAAATATTGTAGGTGTAGAGAAAGCCTCACATTGCCTCCTAGCCACTGAGTGCGCACAATATTAGATAACAAAGCCTTTAATTGTTTAGATCTTTAAACTGCGTGGCTTCTTTATTTGATACTGCAGTGCATTGCCAATACATATCAAAAAATGTGGGAGGTTAGGCGCTGACAGGGAATCAACTGATAGACTTCAGGTGACCTCCAACTCAAAAGGTGAAGTCAGGCACAGACAAAATAAGTAGGGATGCACCGATATATCGGCCGCCGAAACATATCGGCCGAAAATGGCACTTTTGGCATAATGCCGAAAGAGCCATGTTTCGGCCGATACATCGGGTCATCCCTGGTTTCTTTTCTCCCCGCTGGGCGCTGTTCCAGCGGGGAGAAAAGAAAGTGACAGCCGCCGAGCGCTGCAGGAGTCAGGACGAGAGCGCTGTGAGCTGCGGCATCTCTCCTCCCACACCGCTCAGCCGCCTATCACAGTCCGGCAGAGCGGTGTGTGGACGGAGACATCGCTGTCACAGGAGGCTGGATAAAAAATTGAAAAGTTTATTAAAAAAAATATTTAAAAAAATTGAAAAAATAAAAATAAAAAACATTTTTCGGTATCGGTTTCGGCCTGACATTTTTTTTTATTTCGGTTTCGTTTCGGTTTTAAAAATTCCATTTCGGTGCACCTCTAAAAATAAGTAAAGTAAAGTAAAAAAAAAAAGGGGTTTAACTATAAATATTTAATATGTATGCCTGCATAGTTCTCATTACTGAGACTGCATATTGCAATCATTGCCCAAGACTAGTCATGATTGATTCTCTTAAGTACATGAACTGTCTAAGCCTTGATACGTTTTACCATCCATTTTGCATAAGACCACTGTAAAGAGGTTCAGCTGTGTAAAGTTTGGTGTCACTTAAGGTGGCCATACACCTTAATCTCGCGATCGTACGATAATCGGCAGGTGTATGGAAGGCGTGTGCGACCGTTTCTTTTGTCTTTTGTCTTACGAGCATGTTTGAAAACCCGTCGAAAATTGTACGATTTTTGAATTACCTTACAACCATCGCAAGACTAAAGTCTTGCGATGGTTGTAAAGTGTATGGCCAGCTTCACATCTAGCTTAATTACTATAAAATGTACAAACCCTGATGTCAATCCAAGTGCTGCCAAACTGAAAAAAGTTCCATAATATTTAAGAAACTCCCGACTCCAGGCAATCTGCATGGCCATCTGCTTTTCCCGCATCTGATTCTGCATCAGGATCTGCCTCTCCAACTATATAGGAAAAAACAATAAATGACAAACTCAGTTATGAGAAACAAAATGCAATTTCCCTATTTCTGCAACAATGTTAGTTAAATTTGCCCATCCATCAGTACACACACCGTTCTCCAGCCAGCTGAGAATTTTGTACATAAACTCATAATGTAAGATTACAAAGGTGTTTAGTTGGTGTGCACAGCAATATCTACATGTGTGCATATTAATGTCATTGAGCTTCAGGTGGTTTTATACTTATATAAATGTGAGCAATATTTTGGATAGCAATAAATATTAATCTTGCTGACAATGCATTTTTTTCTTAAGTGGTTAACCACATCACGATGTGATCTTGTATTTAAATTTTTTTTTTAGTAACATGGTGAATGTTTTTTGAAGGTTTAGAAACTCTCTCACATTTTATTGCTTTCAATATTACAATCTGAAAGATTTCTCCTCACAGCCTTCGAGGTCACTGGGACAGAATGTAGAGAAATAAAACAGACAGCAATAAAATCTAGACAAGAGGTTCTAACTATTCCACACACTAATCCAAAAAAGTTTAGTCTGAAATTCCACTTCAATATGTATGCCTGTGGACTGGCAGCGAGCTCCGTAGCGCTGAGCTTGTGGTTATACCAGACTCAATGTTACTGAACTGCATGGATACTTTAGCCTCAATGCCACCCCTCCAACTTTCCCCCTGAGGCAGCTGCCCCAACTGGCCTTGTGGTAAGCATGGTCCTGGCCAAAACAGTAATAAAAACTCAAACGGAGTAATTGCAGTTAGAGGTATGCGTACATCATCAACAGTAAGCTTCTATAACTGAAAGAATTGTGACTTTTTTATGACACTGAGGTTATGCTTGGCAAGCTACAGTAACTTGTTTTTATTTGTTTGATGTGTTTTATTGTTTATTCATAAGTATTGTTTTTTTAATGATATGTCCTGACCTGATATCTGTAGAAATAAAAATTACTGAAACATTAAAACAGTTTACTAATTATTCCCTCAATAGAAATAAACTATTTAGGTAACTGTTCCCAATATTTCAACCATGGAACTGGACAAAATAATAATGGCAGAAAACAATTAAACATAATGACACAGAAGAATGAAAAATGAAAATGGTCGTCCAAGTAATCATACTGCATGTCACTATAAAATTAACCTCCATAAATCTTATAAAATAACAATAAAATGACGGCTTAGCTCAGTGTCAAAACATAAAATGTCCACAGTCATTTTGATCTCATCACAAAACACTGTGTGCATTCCCTGCAGAGTGGTACGTACAAGCTACACAAAACAAAACAAAATGAACTACAAAAGAAATAAAAATATTTATGACACCCAGAGCATTTAAAAAAGCACTTACAAAATGCAGCAGGGCATTAAGGGATTTAGTATATTTTCAGGGAGAGCTTTTTATAATCCAACATAAATATATATATATATATCCAACATTAATATAGTTTTATTAAAGTGATTTTAGAGAATACAAAAAGTCATGGTATGTAAAGATACATAGGAGATCTAATAGGTGCATCCAGACTCCCTATGTGACAGTCACTACGACTAATGTAAAGGAATGTTAATTGTAGTTTGTGCATAAACTTTTACAACTTGTTTGCAAATTTGTAAAGTTGAGATAAGAATAAGCATAAGCATAGCATAAGATTGGTGATGCATTAAACTTCTGTTGTCCAATTAAGCCTATAAAACTTCACACCTATCTAAAGGCCTGATTAACTAAAGTGTAAAAAGAGGGGACATGAAGCACATATTACTGCATATAAAATTAGAATTTTTTTTGTACCATTAAACCCAGTGGTACAGTTCAGATACACTACATTACTAAAAGTATTGGGACGCTTGCCTTTACACGCACATGAACTGCAATGGCATCCCAGTCTTAGTCCGTAGGGTTCAATATTGAGTTGGCCCACCCTTTGCCGCTGTAACAGCTTCAACTCTCCAGGGAATGCTGCCCACAAGGTTTAGGAGTGTGTCTATGGGAATGTTTGACCATTCTTCCAGAAGCACATTAGTGAGGTCAGGTACTGATGTTGGACGAGAAGGCCTGGCGCGCAGACTCCGCTCTAATTCATTCCAAAGGTGTTCCATCGGGTTGAGGTCAGGACTCTGTGCAGGCCTGTCAAGTTTGTCCACACTAAACTCGCTCATCCATGTCTTTATGGACCTTGCTTTGTACACTGGTGCGTAGTCATGTTGGAACAGGAAGGGACCATCCCCAAATTGTTCCCACAAAGTTGGGAGCGTGAAATTGTCCAAAATGTCTTGGTATGCTGATGCCCTAAGAGTTCCCTTCACTGGAACTAAGGGGTCAAGCCCAAGCCCTGAAAAACAACCCCACACCATAATCCCTCAACAAACCACCAAACTTTACACTTGGCACATTGTAGTCAGGCAAGTACCGTTGTCCTGGCAACCACCAAACCGAGAAACGTCCATCGTATTGCCACACAGAGAAGCGTGATTGGTCACTCCAGAGAACACGTCTCCACTTCTCTAGAGTGCAGTGGCGACGTGCTTTGGAGGGGTGTTCCAATACTTTTGGCAATATAGTGTATCTTCAGCTATATGTGGTCTGCTGTGAGAGTGGGCCCAAATTCATACATGTAGCAATTTAGCTGCACTTTACACAAATTGCTGTTGCAGGTGTCCTCCTAGGGTATCTCACCACTGCATTCACACTGTGGTTCAAAACACAATGGGTCATTTTGACCTGTTTTCTATGCAGATAAGAATCCCTACAATAGCATCATCCTGACCTGGTTCATTAACCCTTCCCCTGCATCAATGCATCACCAATTGTGCCCTGGTTTCCTTTTCTTTACTGTAGACATACAGTAATTAAATATAACTTAGGCCCCCTTCCCACAGTCCAATCTAGAGGAGATCAGTGCACAGATCACCTGCTGATCGGAACGGATATCAACATTCTGACATCAGTGTCCATCCAGTTTTTTTCATCTGTGTAAAGTAGCACTGCAACAACTAATCGACTAAGTCGATAATAATCGAAAATGAAAATCGTTGGCAACGGTTTTCATTATCTATAAGTGCAACAATCAATTAGTTGGGCTGCTTGCATCTCCTCACACCCTTCCTGCCTCACCCAGCTATGTAAGCTCGCTAACATTAAGGTGACGAGGCGGCCGGCAGACATGCCTACACTACTACTGGACTCGCTCGTTCGTTTTAATTTACAGACCAGGCCGTCACAGGGTAAAGAGTTGAAGAGTCCCGGCGAAGTCGCATACTACCCAGCATTCAGGTAAGATGCCGGTGAACTGGGGGCACACAGGCCGAGGCCTGGGAACTGAGCAAAGCGTGAATGAGCGTGCGGAGCCAGTGTAAGCAGGGAGGCACAGCAGTGGCATAACAGCCGGGGTAGGGCTGACGGTGCAGCTTCCTCAGGCCAGGAGCAGAGATGGGGAAGGTGCCAGGCAAGCAACGAACACATTTAGCCCCAAACCAGGGGCAGACTGACTGTTCAGCCGCTGCCTGAGGGCCTGCAGCCTCCACCATGTCTCAGCCTCCTCCTCTCTGGTGATGTACAACGGGTGTAAGTAGCGTGTATTATGTGTTGTATGTGTACTGTGTGCAGTGGCGGACAATCGCCATAGCGACCCAGGAGGCCGCTATGGGGCCCGGGGCACAGGGGGGCCTGGCCAGGACATCCCCCTGATGCCGTGGAGGCCACCTGGGTCGCTATGGCATCTCAGGCTGCTGGCTATCACCAAATGCCCCCCCCAGAGCGCAGCCTGGCTTGATCTATGCGATCCACCACGTTCCGAGACGGTTTGAGCCTGGAACGCACTGGATATGGTGTGAACTCTGATCATACGCTTCGCCAAAGAAATAATTTTACCAAACTAGTGGAGAGGAAATACCAGAAGGCATTTCAAAAAGTAAAGGACTGCGGACATATGGACAAGTATAGTGACCGTGGCTTACCTTGGCTTTACATGCCACTACACAGCGGATGATTGGAAGATGATTTCTATTTGTCTCACTACCATGCCTCAGCTCATAAAATTATTGCCATTGTGCATGACAATGGTGCACAATGGCGGCTGCTGCGAAGATTCTGGAAGACAAGCATTGGTGGACCAGTATCCACTGCACTGGCTACACCTTGCAGCTGGTGATTGGTGCTGCATTAAAGAATTCAGGAACTCAGAGAACTGTTAGTGCTGAAAGAGGACTAGTTGAACATTTTAAAAAAGTGAACTAGCTAGAAGCAAGTTGAAGGAGAAGCAAAAGCAAATGAGAACATCTGAGCACAAGCTTCTTCAAGATGTAAGCACAAGGCGGAATAGTACTTACTATATGGATGAGAGACTCATTGAACAAAGGTGGCTGGTAACAGCAACTTTGTCTGATCCATCAATTCAACTCAAGGGGGCAAACACTAACCGGAACTTAAGACCAGACCAGTGGAGTTTTTTTGAAGAACTCTCCACTGCTCTCTAGCCCTTTGAGTGCACTACTGTATTCATGAGTGGCCAAGACTATAGTACTCTATCTTCTGTGCCTGCACTAGTGAAAGAGCTGTTGCAGTCCAATGAGGGTGCTTCTTTTGAATCACATGCACTGAAGAGTTTCCAAGCTACTGCAACAGACCAGCTTCAAATCAGATGGAAGGAGGTCCTTTTTGAACAGGTCCCAAACACTGTCATTCTTGCCTCTGCTTGGACTCAAGATTTAGAAGATTTAAATTTTGAACACTAGATAAGTGTACATGCAAAAGTACAGATAGAGGCGCTTGCTGTAAGAAGGGAGATGGTGTGGTGGCAAGCAACCACTTCGACTATAGAGTTGCTGACCCCTCAGCATCTGCAGCTTCTCTACTTGACTCACTCCTTGAGTCTGGGGGCAGCAGTGAAGAGAAGACTAAAGAGGGGCAACATGAGGAGGATATTAATACTCGACTTAGAAATGAAGTCCAGACTTATTTTGCCGAGAGGCCCCTTGCCAAGGAGGT